CCCCTCCCCGCCCCCACCCGGGCGCCAGTGTGTTCAGTAGCGCTTCGGCTCCAACAACTCGCGCAGCGCCCCGAGTGCGCGTTTTCCGGCTCTTAGCTCCAACCGAATCCGAGATTCTCTGGGGCTCTATGAATGAAACGTGTCCGGGAGAGATAATCCTTTGGCTGCCGGAGAATTGAACTGAGAGAGGCTGAGGGAAGCTCGGAGAGCGCGGGATGCTCAAACCCGGAGCTGCAAGTCCGGAGTGACCTCAGATCGAGGAGGCCAAACGCTGGATTTCCATGGGTCTCTCTCTGTGTTTTGCAAAAGAACTGGTAGATGGATGAAAAGCGTTTGCAGATGCCTTACTGCATCACAGTTTCGTTACGTTGCGAACTGCTGCTTTATTCTGGTTGATCTGCAAACTCTGAGAATGAGGGGCTTTACACCGAAGTGAACACTTTAAATAAATTTGGGTATTGCCAAGAAAGACCAAAGGGGGGCACGTCACGGAAACAGCGCAGCGCAGGGTATAGAGGGAGCCTTTTGCAGTTCTGAGCCAGACTTTCCCTCTGAGCCAAGGCGGAACCTGTGGTGCATTGTAAGACTTTTCTGTCCATGTCACTTTGTGCCCCTTTCCCAGAACTCCTTAATTTGTTAAGCAACTGCTCCTACAGCTCCTTAAGTTTCTTCGCTCTCCTTGCCCTTTGTCTACTGTTATTTCATTCTTTTTAATTAATTGATAAGGATCAACCCCCCCCCCCCTCTCAGGGAATTCAACTTACAAAAGGTTTGTCCTGTGGAACACACTTCTAGGAACTTTTTCTCCTCTAATCCGAGTTTTTTCAAACTGTATCTTCAAAGCATACAGATATTTCCCAACATGATTTCTGATAACAGATCTCAAAGAAGAAAGGAGTTAAGTATTTTAACATTGCTTTTTAATCCCTGTTGAGTAGTGAGACTTGGGGACGGAATCTTGAGGTCATCCTCAGTTAGTAAGGGCGCAAATCTTAATATCGGAGTGAAGATTTTTGATTCAACAGTTTTTGGAGTCGCCATTGACTGCTGGGAGAACATTTCCAGTGGTGTTTAGAGATTTGGGAGGGGGGTACCGGGGATCAAACTCGGGTCCTTGCAGCTCAGGAGGCAGGCAGCGAAACCACTGAGCCAAATGCCCCGCCCTAGAGATCCTCACTGCAGAGGAGGATTTTAATTGCAGAGGGTTTTTCTTATTATTTTTACCTCCTCCTCCCTTCTTCACAATTATAGCTCTTTTTATTAGCTATGAATTCCTAAAATCCTTACACTCTGTTAAACTCACCTGTTTTCCCCGGATGAGCGCACACTAAAGACTTTGCCTGTCATTTGATTTTGGTGGACATAATCAAGATCCAAGTTCACTATGGGTCACGGGCACATTTGATAGGAAAATAATTTTTTAAATTGCGTTATTAAGGATGTACTCCCCCCCAAAGTAAACTTTATTTAATGCGAAAGTGAATTGGATTTTCTAGTGTTGCTGTTGGATAAAGAAGCATGCCCTGTTTTGAACAAACTCAATCCTAGTTCTTGATAATATTTGTATTTAATTATCTAGCATAGGTAAGAGTTTTTATGGTGGTTTTCCGTTCTTGAAACTCTTTTTCATCCTTTGCCTTGTTTAGACATCCAGTGGTTTGCTTGAGGAATGGCATGTGCTTTGGGTCTGTCAGAAAAGCTGAATTTAAAAGAACTGCGGTGCACACTTCAGATTCATGAGAACTGTTTCTGGTTGAAAGATGATTGCAGGTGGCTTGCTTAGTGAAATAACTGAGCAGTAATAAGGACATTATGTTTCATCATGACATTAGGAAAGTTTTACTCAGAACTCACAATTGTGAAATAGTGTTGCCCTTTTCTATTCCGGGATGGAGAAGGGCTCTTCAAACCATCAGATGAGGGGCTGTGATAGGTGATATATAAAATCCTGCTCGCAGAGAGCACTTGGGAAGGTGCAGTTTGCACCGTCAATCTTCACGCAGCCCTGATTTTAAATGCTCATTGCAGGCAGATTGGATAGACTCTATCTATCCTGCTTTGGAGACCACCAGAGGAGTAGACTCTTGAGCCGCTCTCTGTGATTCATTTTAATACTTTGGAATGCTTGTGGCATAGAAAAGTTTCTAGAGGTCTAGCCAACAGCCTTCACCATGTACTTTCTTTGCTCCTATCTCTGAGAAGATATTGAACAGTGGATCATCAGGATTTTTGTTAGGAGCATAGTTTTGATCATGAGTCAGTATGAAACATGTCAGTGTTTCCTCAAGCAGAAGTGATATTGTTTTACTCATTTTCCAGTCTCTGTGGCTCAGGACTTCCCATGCAACCCTGCAGCTGAAAAGAACACCTGCTCGGAGAATGCTGTCCTAGGATTACTATGCCCTGAGCCTTGTCAGGATCAGTATTTATAATACTTTGTAGTTGATTGTGACTTACTGGCTTATAAAATCACTTTTCCATTATTTACCTGCTATACCTTTATCTTTACAATCTTACATCGAGAAGCGAGGTGTTCCTTAATTATTTATAGATATTACTTTGAAAATGTCATGTTGATTTTTCTGATAATGTAATATAAACACTAACCTATTTTATAGATGAAAAAACACAGAATGTTAACTAATTAATGTGCCAAGGCGACTCAGCTAATCATTAATGACGCTGGATTTCAAACCAAAAGCATGCTGGCTGGCCCTGTGCCTTACATTATTAACCATCTAGCATTTGTTGAATGAACCCATTCAAAAAATCTATTCTATCCCCAAGTCATATATATAGCCTGACATTGTTATCCACTATACCCATGAATGCTATCTTCTCACAGTTATTCATGCTGTGCATACTTTTCTGTTTACTTGGATTCACTTTGAATTTGGATTTGATGTTCTCAGGAGTTGCTCATACACTACTACATCATCTATATATTTATACATTTTCCCAATCATTTTATTGTATAAATATCATTACATAAAACACAGAAACCAAAGTACATATGTCAGTTTCTATGGATAAACTAGGGCACTTGGAATATTGGGTTATTCCAACAAAGTTCATCATAGGAAGTTATCCATTGGGTGGGAAGAAAAGGGAAGTTTATTTCCACAGACTAGAACAAAAATTGCAACCAGTCTGTTTTCACTACTTACTTGACTCCACTTTCTGTCTCAGCTATTTAGAGAGTTAGGTTACAGCTGGGTATCAAGAATTAAAGTATTTCCCAACTCTCTGATGTCAATTCACTTGCAATTTATCTGAATATCTATAATAAAGAGGGAATTCATTCATACACTCTTTTTTTTTTTTCTTGGTACCGGGGATCGAACTTGGGACCTTATGCTTACAAGGCAGGTGGCAGCACCACTGAGCTAAATCCCCATCCCCCGCATGCACTCTTGATGTATTAGCCATTTCATTCCATTTTTATTGTATCATTATTTTGGGAGGGGTACCAGGGATTGAACTCGGGTCCTTATGCTTGTGAGGGTGGTGGTGGAACCACTGAGCTAAATGCCTGGCCCCCTTTTTTATTGGATTCTTATACATTTATATGTCTATTGGATTCAAATAGATATAGACATAGATGCACATCTCTGATACTTACTTGGCAGGTATTTGGCTTTTTTGGAATCCTGTCCTGCTCTCTGCTCCCCCAGAAAGCCAACGTATTCAATATTGACACACACACACACACACACACACACACACACACACACACACACCTTATCACTTTTACTCTTTTACAGCCATATTAAATATCTTAGTTGGAATAAATTGTTTAAGTTCCATTCTTCTGGCTGCTTCAAAGATTTCTGATTTCTTTACCCTCTGTTTAGTTAGCTGATGCCTTTACAATCTTTTGGATAGGAGTGTGAGTTATTAATGAATTAGGTGAACTTCAATAAAACTTTTTAGATTTGACAATTCACTTGACTTCTGAAAGAATTACATTAATTCCATGTATCAAAGAATGTAAAATCTGGACTTTTTGATTCTTGATTTGAAAATATATTTCAGAGTGGTTCTTGCAAACAGAGTTATTTTAGCTGATTTAATTAGAGGGTAATGTGTCATCGCGGGAACAGGAGTTCACTGAAGTTGACTGATGCAGTTTTTAACATAAAATTCACATTTAAATTGCATTGTACCTTAATAGCTTGTGAGTAGAAATGTAGGCCACTATCAAGATTGATTAAAATGTACAGCATTAAATCCATAAAATATTATGGTATGAAGATTATATCAGCACTT